GGGGTATTGTAAGACCGTAGCTGAAGTATAGAATGGCTACAAGCCAGAATGTGAGCAAGTAGTACAGGAAGGGTTTGCGGATGCAGAGGAGGAACTTGTCGATGGCGTTGAGGAGTTGTTTGAATGGATCGCCGGTGATGACTGCTTGGAGTTGCTGGGAGAAGGCCTTGCATTGGCGGAGCCACTCGGGTTTGGATTGTTCGCTACTGGCAGTATGGCTTTTTAGACCTGGATCGTCGTAGTGGGTGCCATTCAATGCATAGTGATTGTAGTATACGAAACCGAATTTGAAGAAAAGGGGTAGGACGTCAGCGCATTGGACGATGGTTTCGCAAGAACATTCCTTTTCCTTGCCATGTTCACCTTCATTGTGTTTGCACTTTTTACAATGTTCGCAACTGAGATTGTTGAACTCTGTAAGTAATACTTTAAGACCATCTTTGAGGACATCCGTTAGATAGACAATACGTGATAGATAGGACATAGCGAAAGTTGTAGAAATATTACAATAGATAAACAAAGAAAGCGGGAAGAGGTATTTGCCACAGGTTTTGCCTGTAGTGCAATTGCTGTCGTAGAGGCTGCGGAGGGTGGCAGGGTGGTGAGAGCCACCGTTATGGGTTGTGCCAAGTTTGTTCAGAGCGTCGGTTATCTGCTTACATTCCTTATTGGGTTTAGTAGGGATGTTGTTGCTTTCGTTTTCAATGGCCTGAGCGACATCACGATGCAAGAAAAACGCAAAGAGATCACCGACTGTACGGGGGGTACGTAACCCGGTGCAGATTAGACATATGATTATGTTGTAGAGACTGACGTAGTTAATGTTGTTTTTGGTGAAGTAATCTATGATTCTCGAAATTATAAGTCCCGTGCGTTCGCTGTGTGTTAACATTTCGTGGTTGAATCCCATGGGGGCGGGGCAATATTGATTGAAATTGCGATGGGAAATATGGTCAGTATATGGTACAGGGGTGCCACCACCTGTGGGTACAAGTTGACCGTTCTTCATCTCACATTTTTTATTTTTAAGTGATTCACATTGGAATGGTGTAAGATAATCACATAGGAAAGCTTGGAGGGGGGAGCGTTTGTTGGATTGGCCGCAATTTTGGGTGTGGATTGAAGGCGTAGTTGATGACATTGTGGAGTGAGTAGATGACGTGTCGAATAAAGTGAGTATTACATTACGGTTTGAAATATGTGATGTCATGTGGTTGTGTGTAGTTGGTGAGTAGTACTAGTGGTAGTAGGTGGTGAGTGCAGGCGAGGCGCCAATGCGAGAGCGTGTGGAGGAAGTCCAGGGGGAAGAGTAGTGTGTCGAGGAGGTAGATGATGACGAGTAGCCAGAAGGTGACGAAGTGGTTGATTGCTGAAAAGAGGTTGTAGTTATATGATGGATGGTAGTAGTGGAGTGAGTAGGTGATATCATGTGGTTGTGTGTAGTTGGTGAGTAGTACAAGTGGTGTGAGCACGGCAGTGCGTATGTGTGACCGTAGGTGTAGAACGTCGAGTGGTATTGTTAGTGAGTATGTTAGGTAGATGATGGCGATGAGCCAGAAGGTGACGAAGAGGTTGATTGCTGAGAGGAGGTTGTAGTT